TGATGGTGTAAATATAGCGGGGTGGGTTAACCGGGTTTGACCTGGACACACTCGACCCGTAATATAAAACACACAACAAGAACACAAAGTATGACCTAGACCGGGTAAATCTCCTCAGTCCGAATTATATTTCTTACTCTATCTCAAGAGTGAACTTTAGTGAGAGAAAAATTGGATCCCCTCCTCTATCCAATATCATCATATTTATAGAGGAGGATTTGTGACCTTCCCCTGTTCATCCATGGACAAAATAGGAAGCTCGTGGGAAGGTCACTGTAGATAATGGGAACACTGTACAATCATAGAATTTAGCAACTATAGGCCAAGACATGTACTGTTCAATCAAAGACTAAAATGGATATTCTCAATCCAATCAACCCTGCAAAATGACAAACATCCCTTTCACTGTGTGCCTCGTGATGGATGAGCAGCGGGGTGTCCCCTTGACCTCTGACGTGGTTCACCATGCCTAATAGACTGAACCAATGTTAGCCAAGTAAAGTGATATGACCGGTCACCTTCTCTCAAAAGTTACCCGGTCATTCTTTGTGCTCAACCCGTCTTTGGTCTTCTAGAATGTCCTTTGTAACATTAGGCGACATTTTGGCTATCGCCCAAAATGTGACTGGTCACTTTTTTAGTGGAAGTGACCGGTCAACTTTTGACCCGTCCCAATCGAAGAGTTAACCTCATTTGGTGATTGATAAAAGTGACCGGTTAGATTTTGACCTGTCCCTTTCGGTTGTCCGGGTCGGGTATAAGGATATACCCATCACCGACAGGGGCGGAGCCAGGAAATTCATAGAGTGGGGGCGGGAAAAAATTGTAGAGACAGAATGAAGCATTTGCGTGTAAATTTAGTCAAGCTTAAGAGATTATAAAATCAATTAAAATATCGATATAAAAATGAATTGATAATTGTTTAGTAAATTGGTGCTAATTTGTTTGTTTTTTTTCTCTCTGACTTAAACTCAATATACGAAAATTGGAATATTATTGAACTACAAAAAAATTAAAAATTTTTAACAATCTAAACAAACAACGGAGTAAACAAATAAACAATGCATCTCAAGGAAGTCAAAGAAGATGAAAACCACCATAAAAAAAGATGGCAATATGGGTTAAGACTTAAGAGTCCGTAGCAAAGACTTGAAGTTGGGCATGCAAAATTACACTACTGTTTAAATTTTGGGGGGAAAAATCAGCGACTGCAATTGCAGTGTCACTTGCCCCTTAATAGTTCCGCCCCTATATGCCGATTATTTTACTCTTAAACTTCTGATGTGGGATGCACTCTAACATATAAATATTAACTACTCTTTCCGTTCCATAAAATCCTTACTCTTTCGTTTTTTTTTCTAATTCCCTAAAACACTTCTACTTTCTATTAAAAAACCACTTTTACCCCTACTTTTTCATACTCTAGCTACCTATCACATCATACTTTTTCACTAATAATCAAACTATCACATCTTACTTTTACCCATCACATCAGGGGCAAAATTGGAAAGTCAACCAAAATTACACTTTTCCTATTTTGGACCAAAGTCAAAATAAGAAGTGTTTAAAGGAACGGACGGAGTAATTAACAGCAATGATATCATTCATTCATTATTATTATTATTATTGTCATGAATAAACTTGTGGACAGACTTGAAAGTGTGGGAGCAAGAACGAAGGGCGGGAAGGGGAAGATATTAGGGACGGTAATATGCATTGGGGGTGCCATGGTGCTGACGGTGTACAAGGGAGGGGTGGTGATAGGGCAGTCAAGCTTCCAATGGAAATATGCCCAAAATACTTTGGAGAAAAGCCACAACAGTAATTCATATTTGGGACCTCTCCTGGTCCTCCTTAGCGTTTGCTCGTACACGGCCTTCCTAATTACCCAAGTAAGCCCCTTTAATTTAATCGATACGCACAATAATAAAGATTATTTACAATCAAAGAGTGTTACAATTTGACCAAAAGAAGTCAAAGCAAGAAAAAATTTAGGATTTAAGTGTAGTATTCGAATACTAAGACGATTTAAGCCAACTACGACCCTATACTTTGGTTCAAAAATAACTTGAGAGGTGCAACTAAAAGGGGGGGTTGGGTCGGGAAAGGGTGGGGAAATTTTACCGGGGATTAGGCGGTAAGAACCGTCAATTTTACGAACGGGGCACTGGAGCACCCCCGGGGCATCCAATGACATTGATTCCTAATGTCATGAGAACCAAGGGGATCAAATAATACTACCATAAATATTACTACTCCGGTAATATTATTGCCAATCAAATTGTTTCCATAAAGCAACACTTCTCCAAAATGAAAAAATAATGGTAGTAAAGTGTAAATAAACATTGTAAAAAAATTGCAAACATTCACTAATAAATTTCATTTCCCCATCAAGGTTAATTTTTCTATATTCAATTCCTTACTTTTGGCTGATAATTAGATTAATTAATGGGAAGATTTTTTTATATTTTTGAATTAATAATAATTAAATGTATTATTAGACAAAATTGGGGAAGCAATATGAAGCTCCATACTCCAGCACAGCTTTGGCATGCCTGCTTGCAAGTATTGAGTGTGTAACAATTGCCATAGCCATTGACCACAACATTTCTGATTGGGCTTTGACTCCCATGAGAGCTATCTCCACCCTTTACAATGTAAGATTTAATTTTACTCGTATTTGGTAGTATTTTTTTATGTCAATAAATAATAATCTTGTCACTATTTATTTTATAAAATATTCGATACAATTTATTACCCCGTGTTTTAATAAATTAAAATGTCATTAAATCATCAATTCAAAAAATAATACTAGCTCCGCAATAATTACTACTCCCTCCGTTCCACAAAACTCTTCCTCTTTCGTTTTTTTGCTTTCCACAAAACACTTCCACTTTCTATTAAAAAACCACTTTTACCTTTACTTTTTCATACCATACCTATCACATCATACTTTTTCATATCATACCTATCACATCATACTTTTTCACTAATAACCAAACTATTCATCTTACTTTTTTCCATCACATCAGGGGCAAAATTGGAAAGTCAACCAAAATTACACTTTCCTTATTTTTCCCCAAAGTCAAAACCGGAAGGGTTTTGTGGAACGGAGGGAGTACATCCATCCTTGTGTGTTTGTCCAGCACTTTTGACTTTTTCTAGTCAAACACTTTTTACCATTGACCTAGAATTTAATCATCCGTCCCATGAAACTTTCAAATACAAAAAAGGCACGCTCTAAAAATGTGTAATTTTGATATTATTTTCTAATTTTGACCTTACTTCATAATATTGTAAAATTTGAAGTGTAGAATAGATGAGTTATAGTAAGAAAATAAATTCAAAATTACCCATTTTCACGGATAGCCTTTTTTGTTTTTGAAAAGTTTAATCGGACGGAGGCAATATATTTTATATTAATAAGATAAAGAAATATTTTCAAAATAAATTTTTTATAATAATAAATCTAATAAAATTATTTTTACATCAATTTCTAATATCAATTTTATATAATTTGAAGTCAAAATTTACCAATTTTAAACGAAAAAATTAAAAGTAGACAAATACCGAAGGACGGAGGGAATAATAATAATAATAATAATAATAATAATAATAAGAAAAATGAAAGAAATTATTAAAAAATACAGGGGATAATGTATTCGGCAGTAGCAATATTCCTGACATCATGGTGTGTGGAGAAGAAAGGGCCTTTATATGTTGCCGTCTTCAACCCTTTGTTGCTCGTCCTTACTGCCATTCTCAGCTGGGCTTTTCTTCAAGAGAAAATCTTTACCGGCACGTAAGTTATTTATTTAGTTTAACTTAATTCATTGCATGCATGCATCAATTCCATTATTTGCCCTGCACTTTTTTTTTCTCCTTCTTATTCTAGCTAGCTAGCTACTGATCAATTGAGAAAGAATTAAAAAGATTCAATAATAATAATAATAATAATGTTGTTTGTTTGTTTTTGTTGATAATTATTGCAGGGTGGTGGGGTCAATACTAATTGTGGTGGGACTTTACGTTGTTTTGTGGGGCAAGAAGCATGAGTTGGGAGTGATTAAAGTAGAAGATGATGACCACCACAAATTGAAGGAAGCAGACAAAAGAGAGACTGACGACGAGTGCTAATAATTATATTGAATTGCTTCTATTTTTAGGCACTTAAATTATATATTTGCTGGCTTTGCCCATGCATATATATATATATATATATATATATATATATATATATATATATATATATATATATATATATGCATCCAACTTTTATGTGGAGGCTCATCAATCCAACAAGCTAAGATATGTCATCATATTATTATTGGCAACAAGAGAAATCACAACGAGTACTCAATGGATGATGATCAGAGATGATTTGTAAATTATATGCACGTACACAGACGATATATAATTGTCTATGAATACAGATGATTATCATATCGCTCGTGTATATATAAAATAAATGTGATAATTGTTGGGAATTAAACACACAACACACAAATAATCTGCGAGAAACGAGAGAAACGGAACACAAACGACACACAAGAATTTAACGTGGTTCGGTTTCCCTAATCCACGGCTGCAACAGGCACTAGTACAAAAATGACTTTTTAAATCGGTTATTTGGACCCTTTTAAATCGGTTTCCAACCGATGCAAAAGCCAGTGATGCAAATACTCCGATACGTTTTGCATCGGTTGCTAAAACCGATGCAAAAACCCTTTAAAAAAATTACCGCCAGTTCTGAAAGTTGGCTTTTTGCATCGGTTATTACTAAATAACCGATTCAAATGCCCCTACCCAGAAATGGCGCCATATTTGGGTAGGGGCTTTTGAATCGGTTATTTGTTATAACCGATTCAATAGCTAATCTTTTGAATCGGTTATTACAAATAACCGATTCAAATGCTCCTACCCAAATATGGCGCCATTTCTGGGTAGGGGCATTTGAATCGGTTTTTTAGTAATAACCGATGCAAAAGATTAGCTTTTGAATCGGTTATTGAAAATAACCGATTCAAAAAGGCTTTAAATTTTCAAGATTAATTTTGATTGTTAACGATATAATGGAATACAACAATGCAGAAAATTCAGCCCATCAACA